AGAGAAAGCAAGCCACCAGGTCCGGGACTTGAACTGCAGTCAGCCATTTGGGAGAAAAGTGCCTTTAACCACCATGCCACCTGCCAGCCCCAAGTCTAAGCTCTTTAATCCCTAGTATTGCAATGCTATGCTCTTACAATAAAGTATGCACGTGGCGGCCAGCCCCATTGTGCAGCGGTTGAGCACTGTGCATAGGGAACTGGGTCCCACACAGCTGACTGGTTCAGCCAGTGGTCACACCAGGCATGCACGCGTGTGTGTGTGTGTACATGTATGTCTAGAATCCCAATGGGATATAGAAATGGAGGAAAAACTATTGTGGGTTGTGGTGTGACCACACCCCATTGGAAGGTGCTTACTATCTCTCTGACAAGCACAGGCACACACTGACAATTGTACATGTGTGTGTGGATGTGTGTGTGTGTGTGTATCACACTACCAGTTTAGTGTGTATAGTTAGACAAAGTTTTAAAAAATCCTTTAGGGGGGACCAGAACTTAGCATAATAGCTATGTCGCTGGACTCCCATGTAGTCAACTGCGGTTCAAGTCCCAGACCCAGTGGCTTAAACTCACGCCGGGCGCGTGTGCATACATGCCCAAGATCCCCAGAGGAGAAGGGAGGAGAAGGGATTGCGGCATGGCCATACCCCCTGGGGGGGTGATTTCTCACTTTCTCTCTCTCTGTCTCTCTGTCTTTCTGGCGAGCGCACGTGCCCTATAACAGAAAATTTTATTATCTTTAAAAAATAAATTTAAAATAAATTAATAAATAATTAATTAAAAATCTTTTAAATAAGAATTGGCTTCTTATTTAAAGTGGTATGAAAAATCACACGAGGCACATGTGTGTGTGTGCCAAAATCCTGAGAGAATGGAAGAGAAGGGATTATGGCGTGGTCATCCCTGGGGAGGGGGTGATTTCTCACTTTCCTTCTCCCTGTCTCTTTCTGGCAAGTGCATGTGCCTTATGGCACAAAAATAAAAAGAAAGAAAAAAAGGAAGGAAGGAAGGAAAGGAGAGAAAGAAAAAGAAAGAAAAAAAGAGAAAGAAAGAGAAGAAAAAAAGAGAGAGAGAGAGAGAAAGGAAGGGAGGAAGGAAGGAAGGAAAGGGAGAGAGAAAGAAAAAGAAAGAGGCTTCTTTACTTTGAGTGCAGGTGCTTGAGGTGAAGTGACTGTGTCCTGCGGTACTGTGGCGACTCGGAAGGGCTGCATGTCCCAGCACTGAAGCCCCCAGGGCCCAGGCAGCCCAGAGCCACCCCCCATCCCCCACCCCCACACCACCAGTTGTCTTCAGCTGTGAGTGGTCTCGTTGACCCCAGGGGCCATCAGCTATTTCCCATGTGCCACGAAGGAGAAGAGAGTAGGAAGCACTGCCGAGGACCCGGAGCCGCTTCGCGATCCCATGGCCCCCAGCTTCTTCTGTCGGCCTTTTGTCTACTGGTTCCCTCCTCCACTAAGGGCGTGGCTGGGATGCCCGCTGAACCGACTTAAACCCGGGCAGTGTGGAAGCTGGTGGGAGAGGGAGGTCTGACAGCGCCCTCTGCAGGCTGTGGTATGAAAGGCAGCCTGGAAGGACGGCGCGAGGCGGCAGCCCACAGTTTTGCAAATTATCAGGCAGGCTGGCTGAGCAAGCACCGAGTGCCAGGCTGGGAACTTGGCCGGTGAGGATCCGGAATAACATCTTCACAAGATATTCGACATGTTGCTGTGAGGTTTGAGAATGGATTTGGAAAAACATAAAAGTGAAAATAGATAAGAGCTCCAGAGGACAGCCTGTGAATGGGCGCTGTGCCCAGAGTCCCAGCTGTAAGAGGAGAAAGACGGGATCCTGTATTTAACCTACATGTTGCAGATTGTCTTCAGGTGGTGCTATTATCCCCGTTTTACAGATGAGGAAACTGAGGCTCAGGGGCTTAGTTCTTGCTCATCACCTCTAGCCTGGACAACTGTGACAACCAAATCGGTCTTCCTCCTGGTGCTCCCCATTTTGCCTTCTGACCCATTTACCATAGCATGCATGCATGCATTCATTCATTCAGCACACATCCACTGCGTGCCGCCGTGAGGCTCAGCGCGAGGCACTGGGGTTTGGCTGTGGACAGGACACACAAGCTCCTGCCCCTGGCCCAGCTGCAGTGATGCAAGCACTTGGCATTGCTGTGTGAGGCTGGGCTGCCCAGGAGGCCCAGGTTCCATTTCCAGCCTAGACAGGCCAGGCACGGTGGCACTGACCTGGCTAACTGGGAGGCTGGGACAGGATGACCAAAACATGCTACAGGGTCCAAAACCTCTCTCTTCCTCTTGTTTAAAAAATAAAAACATTCTTACTCTCACAGAAGACAAATGACAAAACAGGTAGAAGACACAGTGGGAGAGAGGGAAGGATGTGCGGTGGAGGGAAATATGGGGGACAGGTGGTGAGGCGTGCTGGCGGGGCAGGGGGCTGCGATTTGTAGCCAGAGACGGCCCCTGTGAGAAAGGAATGCCCGAGTAAAGACCTGAAGGAGAGCCCCGAGGACAAGCCCAGTTGTGTGATTTGTGGGGTCCAGTGAGGAATGCAAACATGGGCCCTAGTTCAGCTCTATCAGGAACTTCAAGGTGGCAATAGCAGAGCATTAAACCAGGCACAGGTCCTGAGCACAAGCCATGTGGCTACACAGGTGTGCAGGTGGGTATTTGGGGATAGAATGCAGACCAAGAACCAGCATGTGCACAGGCCCTGGGGCAGGCCATGCCTGGCATGTTTATTTGTTTTAATTTGCTACAGGGTGCATGCACTGACTAGAGAGAGAAAGTAAGAAATCACACACCCCCAGGGTGGTGGCCATGCTGCAATCCCTTCTCTTCTGTTCTGCTTTTAGGATTTGGGGCATGTAGACACACATGCCCGGAGTGTTTTTCAAGCTATCAGATCTGGGATTTGAACCATGTAGTTGACCATGCAGGACCCAACCACCTTGACCACCATGCCACGTGCTGGCCATGCCTGGCATGTTTAGGGAAGAAGGCCGGTGCAGCTGGAGCAGTGGGAAGAGATAGAGACGGCAGGGCAGGGGCCAGCAGATCACAAAGGGCCTGGTAGCCCTGTCAGGGCCTACCATGGAGAGAGATGGAACCACCACAAGGTTTTCAGCCAGAAGAGACCATCAGAGTGCCTTTATAAAACCCCTTCAGAGACTTCCTGTGGCTTAAGGATAAAATTCAGACTTCTCGGCCTTGACTTCCTAGCATGCTCTGATCTGATCCCTTCCCATCCCTGCCGCCCTCTCTTCCCTTCTCCCCCTCTCTTCACTTCTCCGAGCTACCCGACAGGCCCAGGCTGGCCGAGCCTTTCCCGCCCTGCCCTGCTGCATGCTGTTCCCTCCACCCGGCCTGCTCTTGGGCACACTCTCCCACTTCTCTTCACCCCCTCCTCCTATTCCTTGGGCCTCGCCCCTCCGGGGGAGCCTTGTGGCCACACCCTGGGATGGGATCAGAACCCAGCCCCATCTCCTAACCCTTTCCAGCCAGAGCACGCCTGCTTGCCTCCTCTGCCCCGTCCCCTAGGAGCCTTAGGAAAGGCCTCCCGTGTTCTGTATGACCTGGAACAGCACAGCTGGCACCACACAGGGCGCCAGATGGAGCCGCATGGAGGGGAGGAGTTCGGGTCCAATCTTGCCAGTCAGCCCTCTGCTGCCTTCCTCGGTCCCTGGCAGGGGGGCAGAGGAGTATGGGTGCAGTGCTCACAGAAGGTGGCTTCCTGGAGGATGTGACACCTGATAGCTTGAGGAGGGGGCATTCTCAAAGGCAGAAATTCACAAACAAGAGTCTTCAGTGGGTCTGAGCAGGGTCAGGGAAACCTCCATACCCAGGGCCTGAGGAGCCCTGGAGGTCCTGGGAGAAGCTGCAGAGTAGTGGGCTTGTGCCAGGCTCTCCAGGGCTGTGGCAGGAGGAGGGGCGGGGCTGCCCAGACAGTGGCTCCCGCCTCACAGCCATGCACGCGTGCCCGAACTGGCTGCTGGGACCTCAGGAGCAGTCAGGCTGGGCCCTGGACCTTGGGGATGTGGCCAGGCATGGGGACCGGCCCTCAGAGATCTCCACTTCACCAGGCTCTATGTGCTGGAGCTGTCAGACGACATCGGGAACTTCGGGGAGGTGCGGCTACCCCTCCTCGGCTGCCTCGGCATCTCCTGGGTGGTCGTCTTCCTCTGCCTCATCCGAGGGGTCAAGTCTTCAGGGAAAGCAAGTACCCCTCCCTGGCAGGGTCTGTGCCCACCCAGAAAGACCCTGGCTCCCCTCCCTGGATCGGGGCTGGGGTGTGGGAGGGGAAGAGGGGCCCAGAGGGCTAGTGGTGGTGAGGGGCCAGGGAGTGGTGCCCAGGGCAGCAGAAGCCCCGGGTTCACGGAGCCATACTGCCCCAGGTGGTGTACTTCACGGCCACATTCCCCTACGTGGTGCTGACCATCCTGTTTGTCCGTGGAGTGACCCTGGATGGAGCCTTCACGGGCATCATGTACTACCTGACCCCCCAGTGGGACAAGATCCTGAAGGCCAAGGTGCGATGGAGGAGGACACAAAAGGGGACGGGAGGGCCAGGCGGTGGCTGCCTCTGACCGCAGCTCCACTGCCCCTTCCTCCCTGCAGGTGTGGGGGGATGCCGCCTCCCAGATCTTCTACTCGCTGGGCTGCGCCTGGGGGGGACTCATCACCATGGCTTCCTACAACAAGTTCCACAACAACTGCTACCGGTGAGCCGCTCCCGCATGCCCAG